AAACATACGAAGATTTTAAGGAAAGTAAAGAGATTTTAGATTTAAGTTATAATTTTCATTTTATGTGCGATTAATGACTGATTTTGTAGTATTCATTACCATATTTCTGATGCGTGACTAATGCAGTTAGGGTTTTTTTGCACATTTTCACATATTTTTGGTCGTAAATGCTCGTTTGCAGTTTGTAAAAAATTTTCGTTGTTGACTTCACAATATTTTTCTAAACAAAAAAAAGATGAATCTCGGGGTATGCTGCTTTAACATGAGTCAGTAAGTGTTGATGATTAAAACTAATACGTGACTTACTTGTGATAGAAAGCTGGCTAATAGGGTCAACATGCTGACTTCCGGTGGTCCTGTATGGTTTGATGTCAAGCCAACGTACAAATCATACACGCGCAAAATGTTTATTTGCTGTCGCATGTGTAACATACATGTATGTTAGAAACAGAATTTCGGTGTGAGGGCTGCATCAGTTGTCTCGATCCAGAGATAAACCCTTGCTCTTTTAGCGTGGCATCTCGGTCTGAAAGACCATAAATAATACATAGAAAAATCAGGACTATTGCTGAAATTGAAAAAAGAAGAATGTATGTATGTAGTAGATGCTTAATGAGGGTCCATCCGCTCTTTCGGGCACAAAATGCAGCTTTTGCTGTCGCTGTCGACCCAGGACATGTCACCAGTCATGCCCTTAAAGAGTTGATTTTGAAGCACAAAGTGGTGATAATTTACCTCCATGCAATTTCCACGGAGTATTAGCCAAAGATATGAATTTTGAGCCAAAAGTTGGTCACTGTACGGCGGTCAATGAGAATCTAAATGTACAGTAACCTGTGACAATATGAAAGGGTAGCCCTGAAAAGGGCTGTTGGTGCCAGCGAAAAAAAAGGTGAAGAAAAATAAATAAACTTTTATAAAGACTTTTTAACCGTACTATTCCATGAAATAAGACCCCCGTTTATAATATTGAATAACTGCTTAAAAAGTACTTTGAATATATCTGTGCACGTGCTCTCAAAGATACTGGAAAATATATGTTCACGAGATGTAAATCTCAAACAAAATGTTTCCATGAGAAGAACATTTCTTGAGAAAAAAGGGACGTAATATTTGTGTTAGATAATTGTGATAACAATTAAATTGTGTTAATGGTCATTTTTTTCGTGATGATTAACCAGGAATAATGTCCATTTATATTCCTGAACAACGAAAACGTGCGACCAACCAAACGCTCGGCTGTTTTATCAGATTTAAAGAAGTAATTCATTAATTGACCCGCGTAACGACAAAACCAACATAATGGGTTTGCGACCAGCATGGATCAGGATCCATGCTGTTCGCTTACAAACGCTATAACAAGTAGAGAAACTGATAGCGAACAGCATGGATCCTGATCAGACTGCGCGGATGCGCAGGCTGGTCTGGATCCATGCTGGTCGCAAACCCATTATGTTGATTTTATCGTGACGCGGCTCAATTGGAGGAATATAATAGCCCTTATTGAAGAAAAGTATCTGTTATATATATGAATACTCGAAGGAAAATAAGATTTATACAATACGCTTTTAGTTCCTTCAACGGTTTGTCTTTAAGATAACGTCAGAATGAGCATTTCTTGGAGACTACCGCAAGCCGCAAACTTGTCTGATACTGAAGCGGATAAGTCCTTGGCTCCCCTATAAGACAATACAAGGCAAATGAAAGAGCGCTGACAGAACCACCAAGAGCACACGCTATTTAAAGGCGTTAAATCGCAAGGCCATTTCGTTTGCTATTATATAAACAATACACATTCTTTTAAGATGGACCGTTTTCAAGAGCTGTGAGTAAGCTTGTGTAATGACTTGTAAGTTCCCTTTCACGGTAACATAAGATTCCGCTTACTAGTTTGCTAAAAAATGTAAAGTGTTATGCTAAAATAAACGTGAATGACGTTTACGAGGATTGATCAAAAAGTTCTTGGCCCAATGTACTTCCCGGTAATCAGAGAACCCAAGTAATGGACTTACTTTTCAATATAATCCCCCTCTACATCAATGCACTGTGCCCACCTGTACTCCAACTTGTTTAACCCATTAAAATAGAACTCTCTATTTTGGTCCTCAAAGAACTCATTGACCACCCCCATGACACCTTCATTGCTTCCAAAACGTCTACCACGATGCTTGGTTTTCAAAACAAAATTTCAGTTTTGGAAACGGGAAGAAGTCAGAAGGGGCCAAGTCCAGAGAATATGGGGGATATGGAATATGGGGAAGAATTTCAAAGCCGTAGTCAGTTGAAGCAGCCATCGCAACTTGGGATGTGTGAGCTGGTGCATTTTCGTGCAGGAGCAGAGTGCTTTGAGTCAGCTTGCCCCTCCTTTTACGCGCGATTTCGAGACGTCTCAATTCGTCTGATAGTACGTACTGTTTATGGTAAGACCTTGCTCAAGATAGTTTATCATGATTATCCCCTGACTATACCAAAAAAATGAAGCAATCATCTTCCCTGCTGATGGCACCCTCTTGAATTTCTTCGGAGGGGTTGAGCCAGGGTGCTTCCTCTACATGCTCTGTTTTTTGGATTCTGAATCAAAGTGATGGACCCATGTTACATCCGGAGTCTCGATCCGGTAATATAAAACCAGGTTCATCCTCATAGCGAGACAAAATATATCTTGAAATGTCAAGCCTGGTCCGATTCTGGTCGTCAGGGGACCCATCTAGCGGAAACCTTTGACATGCCATAGACATCAGTCAGAATTGCCTGGACTGAACCAAAGATAATACCCACTACCCTAGCAGTGTTTCACAGATTTCATCTTCTGTCGCACATGACCAAATTGTGCACAGCTTCGGCCGCTCATCATCTCCACGACTCTCACTGTCCCTCTTAAAATCAGCAGCCCATTTATTCACAGTGCTATAGGAAAGGGACTCCTTCACAAGTGTATCCACGAAGTCTTCATGGATTTCCTTTGGGGACATCCCTTTCTTACAGAGGTACTTAATGACGGCTCTTATTTTTGGTCTAAATGACACACCCCTCTACTGATCAAAATGTATTTTATGTTACTTAATCCTGTGTAAAACTGCGTGTAACTCGGTCAGTAATCTTCAATGGCAATCGTATGTAAATGTCAGTGTAGTGGCTAGAAGTATATCGGGCCTGAAACTTTTTGATCATACCTCGTAATATGCTGTGTCAGTCGTGTCGTCACGTCTTCATCGATGTACAAAATCGGTACACCCTTTGCACATGCACAGGTCATTCTCTGCTGAAAACAAGTAGGCGACATACACCATTCTAGTAAATGTTCATTCTATTGATAAAAGATGGTATATACACTAGAATGTTTAAACCATGTCTTTATAAGGAATTTGTCCATTTTTCATTTTAGCTGCAACTCCACACTTAGCTACATAATATCGAGATGTTTCGCCGGCATGGGCCAAAATGGCTTATGTTGATGATTAAAATAGCTTTTGTGTGGTTATACTTATGTCTTCCATATTTAGTAGATATATTCTTCATATTTTGTGTGTGAAGTAATGGGACTGTCCGACACTTAGTTTGAGGTCACAGGTGCAAAAACTGATTTTTATGCTTTTGCTTATACAATTTTAATTTTATTGCATGGTTTCTTTCTTTTTCAATAGGTAAATGTCTTTGTTGGTACTTAGGAGGAGAAGTGGTCACTTGGGTCAAAGTAAATAACAAAAAGAAATTTACAATTCTGCTACTGATGTCTTCCATATTTTGTAGAGAGATACCTTGGGTTGTTCTCTTTCTTTGAGTGGAAGTAAAATTAAGCTGCGGTCTCACTTACTCCCGGCAGAGCGCAGGACCAACCTTGTAAGTTCTTAGGATGATCCGGGAAGATCCGGGGTGAAATTATTGTTGCGGTCACACTTACCCCGGCAGCACTACGGTAATTCCCAACTAACCACCCAGGATGCGCTCCGGACCATCCAGGCAGAGCCCAGGTGAAGCTACGGTTCATGACGGAACTTCCCTGGTCGTTCCATGATGAACACGGAAGAGCCCCGGTTGACCCAGGCAGAGCCCCGGTCGATCAAGGCAGAGTCACGGCAGAGCCCAGAATGATCCAGGCAGAGCCCAGGGGATTGAAAACGCGCGAAAATGATTACATTGATACATCCTCCGGGGTTCTGCCAGCATCCTCCGGGGCTCTGCCGGCATTTACCGGGGCTCTGTCAGCATTCACTGGGGCTCTACCGTAGCTCTACCGGCTATATTATACCCTAGATCACCCCCGGTTTGTGCCGGCAGAGCTACATTGTACGGTGCTTCCCCGGTGTAATCCCGGTCGTTCCCGGCAGAGTAAAGCATGAAACCGGCAAAGCTATACTTCCCGGATCACCCCGGTGATATTAAATATTTTATTCCATCCGGGGTCGAATGCCGGATGTCCCGGATCATCCTGGACTTTGCCGGCAGAGTTACGGATATACTCTGGTTAATCCCGGTCGTCGCTCTACCGGGATGTAAGTAAGGAATGACTAGGGTCCAGGTCACTAGTGCGAAAAAAGAGAGATTTTTTGGCACTTATGCTCTTCTTAGCTTCATTGTGTAATGTGCATTGAATACATAGACACATATGCAGGTTTAGGAAGCACCCATCGTCTTCAGCGATATCCTTGTTTTTCGTGCGTGCTGTCTTCTGTCATTACTAGTTACTTTAATATACTATGTATATCAATGTAATGGAATAAAATTACATAAAAATTATATTTGTATATTTAACATGCTTGCAAAAAACTCAGAGGAACTGCTACTCGGATATTATACTTCAATTGACAGGAGCATTTAAATTATTATTGGGTTTCGCCATTTTATCAACTTTCACAAGTTGGTATAGATAAACTTAAGAAAGTATATTGCAGTATTTCATGGTGTCCATTATTTAGAAATTCAAGCCAACCATATAAAAGGACTGCTGACTTTACGTACATGTAGCTAAACTGATAAAATCAATTCTTTTGATACTAAGCTTCAAAGTGGTGAGACAGTTAGCCTTAAATGTATGGCCTAAAATAAAAATTATCTTCCTTCTAGAAAAAACCCTGACAAATCCGATAGCTAGTGACAATTACTCAATCTTAAGATATTATAGGAAACTTATCGTTTTATTATTTTGAAGAAAAAAAAGGGTATGCTTTATTTTTGTTTTTGAATTTTGTTGTTGTTTTTATTATAATTTATTATTAACATTATTATTTATCTTCTCACGTGAAAGCGTTAAACTGTATGTTAAATTTTGTACATGTACTTCTTAAATATATATTTTATTCTTTCTATCATTCTATATAAACGTGGTATCTTTACAATTATTTTAGTGTACATTCAATTTAATAAATAACTGCGTTGAATTTTAATTAAAATAATTTCGCACCGGATACTTGTATCAATGAATTAAACAATTTGTAATAGATCAGTTATATTTCTCAGTAATAGATTGAGTAAATATAAAAATAGTACTCAAATCTATCGTAATAAATTGTCAAAAAAGCAACATTCTATAATTATGTCATCTTTGTGCGGCGATGACACCCTGACAACGATTTCACACTGAAGCTATGAAACGAATAAATATCATTAAGATTTACTGTCCTATACTCGTGAATTCATTCAATCCAACAAAAATTATGGCCAGGTCTTTATCCGTGTAAGCCTGTCTGTAACACGAGGGCCAATGCCAATGCCAGACTCCCAATAAAAACGGTGTAGGTGATTTTTTTGTCCATTGCTCCTTACTCAATCAGTTATATCTATTTTCTTGTAGATTATTATGAAAATGAAAATGTAATAAAAAAAACAAAGGTTATAGATAAAACAATGGTTTGGAAGATGTTGATGTTTACGAATCGTATGATAAAAGGATAATATTATCATGAGAAAATATAAGTTTTTGTGACTTTTAACAAAAATGCCGCATCTCATCGGAAAGTGTGGTTATTTTCAGTCAAAATTCACGTGAAGTAAAGCTTGCACATGACCAGAAATTTGTAAGCATGCTCCTTTGAATGTTGACTATGAATCCATAACATTGATTTACTCGACAACAGTTGGGATATGTTAAAATTAGATGAATACTTACCGTCCTTCAATTGTGTTTTCTGCGCCGACATGTATATACTGGAACGGCTGTCGACGGTTGAACAGCTGTCTGCATATTTGATTGTACGGTGTGATTAAGTTTTTTTTTACTTTTGTTATGTTTGGTTAACTCTCATACATAATTTGAAACATTTCCACCAAGAATATTAGACCGACCACGCCCTTGTTAATTATATTATTTGTTTGTTTACATTTATCAGAGACTTTTATAACAGGATATAGCTCTGTGGATTTATCTATTAGCTTTCTTGTTGAAAGCAGTCTAATAAAATACTAGTAAAATACTGCAGTCATATAATGATAAAAGGTTCATTTCCTATTTCTTCACGTGACTGAATTAAGTTTTTTTTTGTACTTTTGTTACATTTGGTTGACTCTATATATACCGGTAATTCGAAACATTTACATCAAGAGTATAAGAACGACTACGTTCATGATATATTTTATGTTTTTCTTGTCAAATATTCATATTTAGATCTACCTACTGGCTCTTTGTATATGTTAGTGTTAATCCGTGCTGTTCTACAGAAATTAGAAAGTTCGATGGGAGCGATATAGTCCAGTCAATTTGTGAAAAAATACTTCAGAAAATGGGAAAAGCACCAAACTTGGTACAAATAAACTTTGGCCTATATAAGAAAAAAAGAGCATGGGACCCATTTCTAAAAATCCAATATGGCCGAAAAAATCCAAGATGGCCGCCATATATGTTTAAAATTTCATAAAGGCCTTTTTTTACTAAACGACTTGATTAATCATTATATATTAGTGACTTATAAGAAGAAAATAATTTGATATCAGTATTGAGACATTGCCTTGTCTTCCTTAAGCTATAAATTTAAAATATTTCATTAATTATGTTTGTCATTAGTTTTCACGACTCTGGAAATCGGATGAAATTAAAAAAATGTCGAGTTTGGATTTTGCTGTTTTCTAAGGATGTTGAAAAATCATGTTTTAATATTCTATAACCTTTTTATGTACATTGCTTACTTTAAAGGTATATACTTAAACAGGTTAAACAATGGTAGTTAAAATTAAGTAAATACTTCATTGGTTACTTCCGGGATGTTAACTTGACTGCGTTTCCGTATCTGCTCTGTGATAATTGAGAAATTTAAGCTAACTGACGTAAGATTCTAGTCTTTTAGAATTCAATTGCCATATATATATATATATGAAATTTTAACAATGACTTTTTGAAACATTCTGTTAAAGAAAGAAACGAAAAATGACAGACAATATATGGTGTACATTTTCTCAAGTATGTGTTATAATTAATAAAGACCAATCAAATTCATTTGTTCATTTGAAATTATTCATTTTTCTTCATGAACACTCATATGCAATTACTTTTTAAGTATAAAAGGGGCTTGACTTGATTATTTTTATACATATTTTCGGTTTACATACTCTGTTATCGACACACCTATGTTATGCCTGTATATGTAACAAAGGATACTTAGTAAAGACTAAATCACCTTTGATGAAATAACTGCTTTTTAACACTACGCATTGGTTTTCGATTGATTAACTGCCAATTAAACACCAACTTTCAAGACTAATCTAGTCGGAAGTTCCTTGCCCGTTCATTTTATGTCCTGAGTTACACTGACTCATGACTGCTTCAAAAAATATCAACCTTTCTTTGCCTTCTGAAAGTATCAATATTTGATAAAATACCCCAGTGCACCCTTAAATATATGAACAATTCCCATAAGATGCCTCTAAGGGTGACAAATATTACATGTGGTGGTAGTTTTTATAACCTTTGGCATCCGTTGGATATCTTAATTTCTAATATTTTCAAACAATCTCCAAATGAAAGCTGAACCTAAGCACTGTTTTTCTTCTGAGGGCCCCATATGTTTGCAAAGAGGCATGATACGTCATCAATTATAAGGTGGGAAATGATGGGGTATCGAAAACAGTTAACGTCTTTAAAACATTAGATACATCTGGTAATTCTCTTAATCATGATCATGTTCAGGGACATAGCACAGCATCCTATCAATTTGTGATAGTTATCTTGTTGCATTTTGTTGTTCTAGACAAGACTTCGGCAGACTTTTCCAGATTATATTAGTCATGTCAGGTACACGGTGACAATCATGCAGAGTTCTTTGTCTACCTTATCCTAGTTCCAGAACAAAGTACATGTTTTTGTTTTCATGTCTTCTGTTTTATCAGGACTGCGCTCAGCAAACATAATGCTCTCCGCAGTATATCTTTTTATTTAAATTTTTAATTCCTGTAAATGGTGGAAAATGATTAGTTAGGATTGTAATTGTAATCAAAGTTTTGTCTAAGGCTATTAATCCTTTCTATGTTCAACATAGACTTCCTATCATATATTTCATCAAAACACACATGCATCATCCATAGGATTTCGAAATGCAAAACTAAGCTTGCGAAACACGAAACTACATATTAAAACCACCAAAATAAATATGTTTGTTGTTTAAATGTTGGAAGTTGCAATCACAAACTCTGCATCTTAATTATGAATAACATAGGGCAGTTACATGCCTTAAAGTTCACCTATATGCAAATTGTAAACAAAATTTACCGTGCGGTTTATGAGTAATGGACATTTTTCTGAACTAGAACATTGCTATTAGAAGGGCTTTTTTTTCAGGAAAGAGGAAACTCTTAATAATCTATAATATCATCAATATGAAAAATGTTTTCCTTATTAATTGCTCATTTTAAGAAATGAAATATAACATTCAGGGTAACAAATGACACGAGCAAAATGATTGTTTCTAAACAAAATGTTTTTAATATGTATAAAAATGTTACTCTCCCCATCCACTTTAAAACACTTACATGTATTTGATTATTTCCCTATGTAAAAGCCTTATTCAAAATATCCCTTATATTTACTACTTTCAACGTTTGCTAAGTATATTGGTTGATCTTGCAAAATATAAGATATACTTTTACCGTGTAGTTTTTATTTTATTAAACTTTAAAAATATCTGGTATTTGCTTCTAAATTTAGCATTATTTAGCAAATAAATACCTACAATAATTACATCATTAAAATCAAACACTTTTTTCATTCCATTCCATAATATAATGATATTACATATTAAATAAATAATGTTAAAAAGAATAACAGGAAGAAAAAATGTTGCCCTTTCTGGAGTTTGAACCCACGCCCCTCAGTTACAATGCAGTTGGCAGTGATTCTAGCCTATTTGTATACTCTTAAAAGTTGAGGTAATGCAGGGATGGTCTGCCTTAATATTTTGTGATAACAAAATATTGTTGATTGGGCTTGAGGAATTGTTAATTACTGAAAAGAACTGTCAACTTTCCTTGCATTTACAGAATTGTGATGAGGCATTTTCTATCCTATCAATTGATCAGTAATGATACAAATTTTATTAAAACATTTTGAAGAATCTGTTGTCTGTAAAAATTATTCCTACTTTTTATTCCTTATGTAACAATACACACCAATTATTGATGCTTAAGTTTAATCGTCTACTTTGGATTAAAACAAATAAAATGAAATGGAGAAAATAATAGAAAGTATTCAAGTTCACGAACTGATCACGAAAATAGACTGATTTGTCAGTTCATTGAAATTGTTACCATGGAAACAGAAACAATAAATTACATTATAGTTGTTAACTATTATCTTTTAATTATAAGTAATACAAATTTCTCATGTTAAGTTAAAACTGTGATAATTTCAAGTAAAATTGAAACTATAAGTAGCTTATACTGGAATAGGAAAGTGTTAATTTCATGTCATGGCAGCCATTTTTAAAAATGGCTGCCATGGCAACCATATTGGCATATATAAAATGGGTCCCATGCCCAAAATGTTTCTTTTGACTTAATTAACATCTGTGCCAAGTTTGATGCTTTTCCCATTTTCTGAAGTATTTTAGCATATTTTGTTACAAATTGACTGGAATAGTCCAGTCAATTTGTGAAAAAATACTTCAGAAAATCCGAAAAGCACCAAACTTGGTACAAATAAACTTTTGGCTATATAAGAAAAAATGAGCATGGGACCCATTTCTGAAAATCCAATATGGCCGAAAAAATCCAAGATGGCCGCCATATATGTTTAAAAATTTCATAAAGGCCTTTTTTTACTAAACGACTTGATTAATCATTATATATTAGTGACTTATAAGAAGAAAATAATTTGATATCAGTATTGAGACATTGCCTTGTCTTCCTTAAGCTATAAATTTAAAATATTTCATTAATTATGTTTGTCATTAGTTTTCACGACTCTGGAAATCGGATGAAATTAAAAAAATGTCGAGTTTGGATTTTGCTGTTTTCTAAGGATGTTGAAAAATCATGTTTTAATATTCTATAACCTTTTTATGTACATTGCTTACTTTAAAGGTATATACTTAAACAGGTTAAACAATGGTAGTTAAAATTAAGTAAATACTTCATTGGTTACTTCCGGGATGTTAACTTGACTGCGTTTCCGTATCTGCTCTGTGATAATTGAGAAATTTAAGCTAACTGACGTAAGATTCTAGTCTTTTAGAATTTCAATTGCCATATATATATATATATGAAATTTTAACAATGACTTTTTGAAACATTCTGTTAAAGAAAGAAACGAAAAATGACAGACAATATATGGTGTACATTTTCTCAAGTATGTGTTATAATTAATAAAGACCAATCAAATTCATTTGTTCATTTGAAATTATTCATTTTTCTTCATGAACACTCATATGCAATTACTTTTTAAGTATAAAAGGGGCTTGACTTGATTATTTTATACATATTTTCGGTTTACATACTCTGTTATCGACACACCTATGTTATGCCTGTATATGTAACAAAGGATACTTAGTAAAGACTAAATCACCTTTGATGAAATAACTGCTTTTTAACACTACACATTGGTTTTCGATTGATTAACTGCCAATTTAACACCACCTTTCAAGACTAATCAAGTTGGTTGTTCCTTGCCCTCCTGAGTTATACTGAATAAATTACTGCTTAAAAATAATATCAACCTTTCTTTGCCTTCTGAAAGTGTCAATATTTGATAAAATACCCCAGTGCACCCTTAAATATATGAACAATTCCCATAAGATGCCTCTAAGGGTGACAAATATTACATGTGGTGGTAGTTTTTATAACCTTTGGCATCCGTTGGATATCTTAATTTCTAATATTTTCAAACAATCTCCAAATGAAAGCTGAACCTAAGCACTGTTTTTCTTCTGAGGGCCCCATATGTTTGCAAGAGGCATGATACGTCATCAATTATAAGGTGGGAAATGATGGGGTATCGAAAACAGTTAACGTCTTTAAAACATTAGATACATCTGGTAATTCTCTTAATCATGATCATGTTCAGGGACATAGCACAGCATCCTATCAATTTGTGATAGTTATCTTGTTGCATTTTGTTGTTCTAGACAAGACTTCGGCAGACTTTTCCAGATTATATTAGTCATGTCAGGTACACGGTGACAATCATGCAGAGTTCTTTGTCTACCTTATCCTAGTTCCAGAACAAAGTACATGTTTTTGTTTTCATGTCTTCTGTTTTATCAGGACTGCGCTCAGCAAACATAATGCTCTCCGCAGTATATCTTTTTATTTAAATTTTTAATTCCTGTAAATGGTGGAAAATGATTAGTTAGGATTGTAATTGTAATCAAAGTTTTGTCTAAGGCTATTAATCCTTTCTATGTTCAACATAGACTTCCTATCATATATTTCATCAAAACACACATGCATCATCCATAGGATTTCGAAATGCAAAACTAAGCTTGCGAAACACGAAACTACATATTAAAACCACCAAAATAAATATGTTTGTTGTTTAAATGTTGGAAGTTGCAATCACAAACTCTGCATCTTAATTATGAATAACATAGGGCAGTTACATGCCTTAAAGTTCACCTATATGCAAATTGTAAACAAAATTTACCGTGCGGTTTATGAGTAATGGACATTTTTCTGAACTAGAACATTGCTATTAGAAGGGCTTTTTTTTCAGGAAAGAGGAAACTCTTAATAATCTATAATATCATCAATATGAAAAATGTTTTCCTTATTAATTGCTCATTTTAAGAAATGAAATATAACATTCAGGGTAACAAATGACACGAGCAAAATGATTGTTTCTAAACAAAATGTTTTTAATATGTATAAAAATGTTACTCTCCCCATCCACTTTAAAACACTTACATGTATTTGATTATTTCCCTATGTAAAAGCCTTATTCAAAATATCCCTTATATTTACTACTTTCAACGTTTGCTAAGTATATTGGTTGATCTTGCAAAATATAAGATACTTTTACCGTGTAGTTTTTATTTTATTAAACTTTAAAAATATCTGGTATTTGCTTCTAAATTTAGCATTATTTAGCAAATAAATACCTACAATAATTACATCATTAAAATCAAACACTTTTTTCATTCCATTCCATAATATAATGATATTACATATTAAATAAATAATGTTAAAAAGAATAACAGGAAGAAAAAATGTTGCCCTTTCTGGAGTTTGAACCCACGCCCCTCAGTTACAATGCAGTTGGCAGTGATTCTAGCCTATTTGTATACTCTTAAAAGTTGAGGTAATGCAGGGATGGTCTGCCTTAATATTTTGTGATAACAAAATATTGTTGATTGGGCTTGAGGAATTGTTAATTACTGAAAAGAACTGTCAACTTTCCTTGCATTTACAGAATTGTGATGAGGCATTTTCTATCCTATCAATTGATCAGTAATGATACAAATTTTATTAAAACATTTTGAAGAATCTGTTGTCTGTAAAAATTATCCTACTTTTTATTCCTTATGTAAAAACACACTTCAATTATTGATGCTGAAATTTAATCGCCTACTTAGGATTAAAACAAATAAAATGAAAATAAGAAAATAATTAAAAGTATTCAAAGTTCTTGAGCTGATCACTAAAATAGACTGATTTGTCAATTCGCTGAAATTGTAACCATGGAAACAGAAACAATTACATAATTATAGTTGTTAACTAGTATCTTTAATTATATAAGTAATACAAATATATCTCATGTTATGTGAAAACTGTGATGATTTCAAGTAGAATTGTAACTTAAAGTAGCTTATACTGCAATAGGAAAGTGTTAATTTCATGTCATGGCGGCCATTTTTAAAAATGGCTGCCATGGCAACCATCTTGGCATATATAAAATGGGTCCCATGCCCAAAATGATTCTTTTGTCATAATTAACATTTGTGCCAAGTTTGATGCTTTTCCCATTTTCTGAAGTATTTTAGCATATTTTGTTACAAATTGACTGGAATAATAGCGTCAGGAGAATGTTTCTAATTTCTGTAGAACAGCACGGATGAATACTAACATATTTAGTGTCAAGCTTTATTTGGCCTCATTATCATTCACTTTATTACGTCACTATGCGTGAAAAATAGAAGTCGACTATGGATGGAATTTGATAAAGTATCGACTTTTGTACTTCTATAAAATTAACGCACAGAATTTTTAAGAAATACAGTGTTTTCATTGGATGACAAATAAAGTTGGAGCGGTCTGGTAAATCATTTCCGGCATAGTTGATAAATGTTTCATTTCCTCTTGCTGCACGCGACTGAAATAAGTTGTTTGCACTTTTGGTTGACTCTCATACGAAAAAAAAAACGACTTTGATGTATGAGTAAGAAAGAGAATGTACTTTAAACCATGTTAGAATAATGAGCTAATACAATTTTCTATTTGGTTTTAGTGTATAATTTTTGACAAAACATGTAAGAAACGTCATATTATAAAGCATATACAGCATAGTATGTCTGCATTTATATTTAAAGCTCCAGAAAATCTATACCATCCTTTTTGTCTGTTGTGATGTTCTGTATTCATCCGGTAACCCATTTGTATGTTTATTTTATTACAGGCTTAAAATGGCATGTATAGTTATATACCTGATGTTGGTCATGACAGTCGTCCGGATAAAATGTCAACATGAAGTTGAAACGAGAGTCAACGCCGAGAAACTCGCGCAAAATAGAATATTCGAATCGTCGAATACAACCCATTCGTGCAGCATGTCTATAAATGTAACAAGTTCGGATTATCTAAAAAATAACATTGAAGTGTATCGGCCGAATTTTGCTCGGCTTGAGCTACGCTTCAGATATGAACATCCTGTCGTGGAACCATATATCCTTGAGCCTAGTACCAGCCACACAAAAGACATTATTCAGCCGTACCATTGAGTTTGGACATATTACTTGCCGACTGGTTTCTTTTCATATATTAAATGGCCGGTAGACTTTCCCATCCTCTCCTTTGGACTTCTAGACGCCAAAACACTTAGGAGCCAGTTCCTCGTTGTAGAAATTCGAGATCGGAACTGTTCAGTTTTGATGGGACACCAAGATACTACTAAATCTATAGCTTATGCACTTAGGGACATGACACGTGATTATCTGATTGATTTAAAAGAACCTTACAGTTATTCCTATTGGTGTTACTTGGCTGAGGTACCAGGTGTAAAAGAAACATGGAGCTATCAGTTTGGAATTTATCTAGCATTTTCAGTGGAGTTTGCACGCTATAATTGCTGCAGGACAGAAAAATCGAAAGTTAATTATAGGAATTTTTCAATACATTGCCTCGAACATCAGCTTGAAAAAGTATGGCAATCAACTATTATTCCTTACATTATGGGCCTTGTTGCCTTTGGCTACTTTCCTATTCTTTTATTCAGCTTTGGAGCAGAGGTTGGAACTATTGGAAATAATAAAAGAACTAGGCAATTAACTTTGTCAGCTGCTGCTGAAGATGCAGATGGCGTAAAGGACTTCAGTGAAAAGTGGATATTTTTGGACGGAAAACCACCAATAAATCTTAAGACAATAATATTTGGTTTGTTCGGACTTGTCGAAACTTATCCGGTAGCTGTTTCAAGACTTAGACGCTTTCTTTTCATATTGCTTAGCCCTTGTGTGATATTCTGTGAGTTGTATGTCTATTACACGTATCAGTATGATACAACAATGGCTCTGTTAGATCACGGCTGTCCGATGGGATATTTATCGATTCTTGGAGGCTTTGAAAAAAGTAGGCAAAACTTCATGCCGATTTTAGGCGGGCCATATTGTCTTTTAGTAGGTTCGTATGTCGCTGGTTTTATTTTCATCATTTTGCCAACATATCCTGACGGTGTAGTTTTTGATGGCACCTTGCGTTATTTTTCATTTGGAGAATTTTCACCTTTGTTTCTTGACGTTTCAACTATTGAACAATACTCGCATGTATCGATTGCCAAAGAATCGTGCGGGTATCGGCGTGCAGCAAGTTTTAATACTGCTCTATTTTATACGTTTGCAAATCCAAAATTCTGGCGTAACGCAGTCAAACTTCAAGTTAGCCGGTTCAGAACTGCTGTTTCTGCATGTGGGTCCATACTTGGACAGGTTCTATTAACTACCTTTTGTTTGCCGTTTTATGTCGTCATATGTTCTGTTGAACTTTTATTATGTCTTGTATATTATGGTCTTCCAATTATCAATACAGTCTGTATTATAGTCACGGGATTTGTTGTCTGGCTAATGAAATATCTCCGACAAAAAAGTGCACGATCTGGTAGCCTATTCTGGGATTTATCCGGAAGTTATCCATGTAAATGTGTACTAGCAATTTGCATGACGTTCCTTTTCCTGTACTACATCTTAAGTTTTTGCACAATTTTCATCCTGAGCTTTGCATTGATTTGTCAAGTGCTGGTATTTAGCTTTATCTCTGTTATAGTGTACCCTTCCACATCATTTGGATATTTGTTCTTCGGCATAGCATTCATATATTACATATTTAAGATATTCCAGGTACTGGGAGACAATTATATAGAACTGTTAGCAGACGCTGTTGAAATAAGCTCCCAAATGGAAAACGACATATTCAGAAATCAAATCATAGACAATACTCTTATAATTGATGATTCTGTGCCTTACGAAATTACGAAAATTCAAATAAACGAGTGTATCATAAGTCTTTCATCCGATCAGCGCCATGTTCTTCGGGAAGCAGACTGCGACAAAGGACCAAAAGTTATTTACAAGAAACACATGACTGGAATCCCAAACGATCTTTTTCAAATACTTGTGAAGAAATATCTTCCTTTGCATGTGCAAATAACACATGCTTTTTTGAAGATTTTACTTATCCTCGTTTTGATTTATTTAACTATCAGTATGGTGGACCGCAAGCCATATAGTCAAACTGAAGGAATTTCAGAAATGATGCATGTCATATTCATTATTGTCGTTGGCTCATTGCCAAGAGTTCTTGAAGTTGCGCTAGACAACAGTAACCATCATATAAGGAAAGAAATCAAACTACGAAAAATACGAGCAACTATAAATAAGTACTGGATTAATCAGTGACAACGACACTTTCATTAAGCTGAAATAAAAGTCATGCACATGTTTAATTTAAAACTGCTTCGTAAAATGCATTTTTGCATGTATGCATAAATTGTTGTTCTATGTAGAAACAATTATATACAAGAAAATAAGGAAATAAATTATGAAGTGGGTGATAAGAAAAAATGCATTGTTCAAATATCTTGCCTTATTGGACTTTAATACCGGAGTCCAATGATTATGTGTAATTATACTTAAAGTTGCATGCCTCCAGATGAGTCAGACACTATTTCAAGAAGCTCAAACTTGAAAAAATGTATACAAACATTTTAAGAAATGTAAAAAGATTCAAGATTCAAGTTATGTGCGATTTATTACTGATTTTGCCGTAAATATCACCATATTTTTGCTGCGTTACTAACGCCTTAAGGGCTTTTGGGGGTATTTTGGACCCTTTTTTGTGGTAAATTACGTTAGCCGTTAGTACTATTTGCAATGTATAAATTTCTTTTTTGTTACATCACAATATTTTACGTGCATGTTCCTTTTAAATACATTTTCAAAATTTTCATGACATGTATATTTTTTTTTAAATAATAAACCGAGAGCTTACCATACTATTAGTATTGAAATTCGTTATTCAAACAACAGCACTTATATATGAAACTTACCGAAGTTGTTGACATGATAAAGCATTCATTAAAGGAATGTTATTGCTCTTTCCAGTTCAATGAGATTAAAGACTGCTAAAGTTTCTCTTCTGTATATGCACATACATACACTTAAACGACGTAAACAATCAAAATAACTGATTTACTTTCGGCAAGCACGCAGGCACGCACGCATACATACATACATACATACATACATACATACATACATACATACATACATACATACATACATACATACATACATACATGTAGAGACTAGTAATCTAAGGATTGCACTAGTAATCTAAGGATTGCTGACCGCGTGGGTTCAAACTCTGTCAGGGCCAAGCCGTTGTTTCCTTTAGCAAGAAACTTCACACTGGTTTTGTTCCAGGAACAGATTCGAGAGTGTTTCAATAAGCTTATAGCTTCCAACACAATCGAACTAAAATAAATTTGTATAAACCAACAGTGGTGGTTAGAATTTAGTAAATAATACATGATGTATACTGTAATAAATCGGAACATTTCATCTATAAAGTAAACCTAAAACAGATAATATCTTTAGCAAATTTTGTATGCGCGCCGTGCGGTTCTGTGCACCATACCATGTCATTATATACAATACCTGTCCATACAAGTGTTGCATGTCACAATATTAATGGTTAGCTTGGCGGCCAAGATATTAATATTTGTCATTACTTTTATAGCAGTATAGCAGACACCACAGGGGCCCACACAGTCTTTGGATGGCATAAATTTGTGGGTGATCGAAAATTCTCTATTTGCCGAGTAATGCCCCTTGTCTATATTTAAATACATATTATAAGGATATGGCTAAAATCTCATTTTAAGGTCACTATCAAGCAGTATATACCATCCAAACACTGTGTGGGCCCCCTGTGACAGACACTACCTACATGGCGTTAAGGCAATACGTCGATATACTAGTAACTTGCCCCCTCCCCCCAATGTAATATGCCTCTGTAAACATTTGAGCAGTTGTGTATATGAGAATAAATTTTATTTCATTGATTATCTTTGTTTATATTTGTCGGAATGTTCGTTACCGATGCCTTAGCAGGTGCAAAAAAAAACTCAACTGTTATATATCAATTGTGTTTTTTCCTATAATTTTCGTATAATTTCAACATTTTCCGAAGCCTCTCGTCACACACCTTTTGGTCCGATTTCAATGAAGTTTGTCTCATGTATAAGCTTCAAGAATCCATTTTACGGCAATGAGAGTACTGACCGACGAAACAGTTGCACAAGATGTCTTCGTGTTATTGGCGTTTTCTTCAATTTTGAATATAAACTCTATGTATTTCCTAAAAATTATGGGAGCACACTTTCAAGTTCAACACATTTTTTTTTTTGCTGCAACTTACAGACTTTTGTTAGGATATAGTTGAAGAAGTGTTCAAAAAGTGTTATACTGAATGTGTCATTGTTTATAAAATTATAGCTCGTCAGATTGCCGTGTGTCACGTCCCAGACCCTTCCGCCGAACTTCAAATAAGAAATAAGATCACAATAGTAAAAAATACATAGAACGGAAACATGTAAACAAATATAATAATTTAATGCTCGAAGTTGATGACTATAGGTTTATTTCATTATATCTACTAAAATTCCACATACATATAGTAAAATTATAGATATAAAAGTAAACAGTGCATCATTTATTCAAATGTACTTTATATTATAGTTGCAGAAACCGAAAGTTCAAAATGTCTGCCTGTTGTCTATTTATAATAGCACAACAGTGGGCATATTTAAATCGATTATGATTGCCAGAAATAGTTTCAATAATTATTGTACTGAAATAGACTTTATGTCAAATATATACATAATTATGCTATATACATTATCAAAGATTACACACTCTGTTTATGTTTACATCATTCTAAACCCACAATGAGCGGTGTGCTAATGTCGTATTTTAACGAGTTATAAAAAACAACTATAACTAATCAGCTTGACATATTGACCACACATCATATATTTGCATTTATATTGTGCAATAAATATATTATTAAAACTTATTATCTGTTTTACTTTCACGTTATGAATATGAATTAAGGAATAAAAAGAAAATCTCATTCTAACGGCTGAATACATCATTTATGAATAATAATCAAATTATACATGTACAATTAGCTTAAAACAGAATTATACTACACTTAACATATACATTTATGTAAGTAGCTGAAAACAAAACAAAACAAAAAACAAAACAAAAAACAAAACAAAACAATAACTGCAGCACTCATACAAGTTAATCATCACATATATCACATGAAGTATACAAGTTAAGACAAACGGCCAGAAACTTGTAACATATCTTAGTTCACAAATGCCCTATGATATACAGTATGCACAAAAATTACCATAACATCTACAATTACAAGATGAAGATAAAAGAAATTTTCCTAAAATTTCTTTTACTTATACCATGATGATTATTTATCCATATTTTGTCAATCGGGGCATCTAGGCTATTATCAATGATAAATTAACCAATGTTTGACGGAAAGGGCCGAGAAGATGCGATTACATATTTTGTATTTATTTTACAGCTACCGCACAATTCCTTTCATTTTGGCTAATTTCTTAAGGTTCTGAAATGAATGATTTTATCAACAGACATTTTAACCATTTCTTATCTCCACATTAGTACTACTAAATCAATCACAATTTCTTTTCCCTTGATCATTATTTTGATGCACTAGATACCCTCAAAATGAAGTGCACTTTCAATATCAAAAGGCAATTATCATATAGTATTGCAAGGAATCCATAAGTCCCCTACCAGATGGAACCCCATCAACATTCTGAAGGGCCATTGGCCATTCACTAATGTTTTTATTATTCTCTATTTTAAGTAAATTTGTTGGAAAAGTTCTTTAAAAGTGATCACAGGAAACAGTTTTGTTGAAAAGACAGACAGACGGACTGAAGGACACTCTAAATTTAATATTTGAAACATCCCTGTTACCAAAATATAACAGTTTAAAAAGCAAAATTCTTAAAGAGGAGATAGCTCTGGAATTAAAGATGCAATTTCATAAAAATTTTCAGCTCTTTTTGACTAATCACAAATATTGTTATATTTGTCATGTTTTAAGCCTATTTGTTGCCAAGGCAACCAATATTTTTTAAACTAAGAAGAACAGATAAAACATGCATAATCTCAAGACTGCCATCTACCCATATGTCAAGTTTCATAAAACTATTTCAAGTACTTTTTGAGTTATCACTGGATTCAGTTTATGTGTAAAATTTGCCATATTTTCAGTCTATGTGTTGCCATAGCAACCAGAATTATGTGTTGCCATAGCAACCAGAATTTTCAACATAGGAAGAAAAGAAAAAGATGTGCATAATCTCCAGACTGCCATCTACACATATTACAAGTTTCATAAAAATACTTCTATTACTTTTTGAGTTAACACTGGATCCAGTTTATGTGTAAAAATTGCTATATTTTCAGTCTATTTGTTGCCATAGCAACCAGAATTTTCAACATAGGAAGAAAAGAAAAAGATGTGCATAATCTCCAGACTACCATCTACCCATATTTCAAGTTTCATAAAAATATTTCCAGTACTTTTTGCGTTATCACTGGATCCAGTTTATGTGTAAAATTTGCCATATTTTCAGCCTATTTGTTGCCATAGCAACCAGAATTTTCAACAGAGGAAGAAAAAAAAGACGTGCATAATCTCCATACTGCCATCTATCAATACATCAAGTTTCATCAAAATATTTTCAGTACTTTTCAAGTTATCACGGGATCCAGTTTTGTGGACGGACGGACTGACGGACAGACAGACAGACAGACAGACGGACAGACGGACGGGCGGAGGGTAAACCTAAAGTCCCCTCCGGTAAACCGGTAGGGGACTAAAAACATATTTATTTATTTATTTATTGAAGTTTCAATAACATATATGTATATATCAATCAATATAAAAAATAGGATAAAAACAATTGGCATACATATATGAAACCAATCAAATATTTGATTTGCTAGAGACTATTAAAGTACTATACATTTTCACATTACAACTTAAAAACTCTATCACATCTTTTTTTGACTACTCACTTAATGTTCATATACAGAAAAAGAAATTAAATTACATCTGAGTTTGTTCTTAATCATAACTTTGGCAAGTCAAAGATCTTGGCAAGTATGTCATATTTGAGTAAAGCTAAAATTCAAACTACTCTGCCTGTCCCACAGAAAATGGCTGAAAATTTAATCATACGCTCGTAAACAAAATAGTTCAGAGATTACAATTTGTATTGTGCTAAACTGTATGAAGGCCCAAATATTAATGTTCTATAACAACAGTAGTTGGGTTGGCATTCATTTGTATAACTGAAAACAAACTCTCCTTATTTTACGGTTCTAAACTATACTAATTTCCTTACCATATATATACACATATTCTAAATGCTATGACCTAGAAAACTCTTGTTAATGATAATCTATTGCTTTTCTGTTCTTCTTATAAATTAGAACTTAGAATATCGTTAAAAACTGAATTTAATATACCGGTAGTTTATAATGCTCGACATTACAAAATGGTCTAAACAGAAAAAGCATATGACTGATCTAATCAGATATATGGATTATTAACAAGGTTTTCTTCAGCAAGATAAAACAATGTTTACATACAATAAAAACATAGTACAGTATAAGATTACCCAGTATACAAACTATCACGACGCTTTTCTGACATTTGAAAGCAGGTTTTGGCACAGCAATTAACAATGGCCTCCTCATTCAGAAGTAGCCTTATCTTTTCAACATCATCTACACTATCAAAATCAACAAAATGTTGACAAGCCTAAAACAATAGCTGCTGTCTTAACCCTTTACCCCATGAGCATATTGCGAAAAATGGCCGTTTTCGTTGAAAAGCCTCCTGTAACAAGTTCAAACTGCTATGAAACTATGAAAAATACTTCAATACTGATGAAACTTGGCACAGATGTTGACTACACCATAGCCTCTGTAACAGCATGCTCAATCGTAAATTTCCTGTTACCATGGCAACGGGGGGACGTCTCAAAATTGCCAAAAATCACTATTTCGCATTGTTTTTTTCCATCAAAACTGATTTCAAAGTGCTGCAACTTCTCAATGAATAGAGATAGAGTAAAAGGCTTTTCAGCGTCGGTTACTAGTTACCCTAAGATCGACCTGAGGCCATTTTTAGCCTGTCACATGTCCAACATTTTCTTGGCGATGAGGGGGACTCCGCCCCCCTTCAAAACCCCCAAACAGAAGGGGGCACATCCCCCTTCTGGCAACCCCCTGATGTAACATTGAATTTTTTAGCAACATTTCTCAAACGAAAACCAGTGTTGGGGCCTAAATAGGGCATTTTTTCACTGTTTGAGGCCTCAAAAGGGGGGGGGGGCAAAAAGCCGTCGAAACACGCTTATATGAGGGAAAAGGTTAAATCAATATACAGAGGACAGTGAAGTAGCACATGCATCTCATCCTCAATTACATTAATTCCAATATTGTGAAAAAATGAACATTTTCTATTCTCTAACAAGACATGATTATAATCGCCTAATCTCGACATTGATTGGGTCTGTACCGCTACGAAACTAATGAAGTTTTGAATAGTCGGTAGAACCTTAGTTTATTTCTACCATTTCCTCTCTAGGCATTAACACGATTAACATCGGCATGCCATGACATGAAATATTCTTCATATAATTTTGGAATAGGTTGTCCACATATTTCATGCTTATACGCAAACCTGCTAACATGTCTTCAGAAACATGTTAACAACTTTAAAATTCCAATTTTTACAGTTTACATTACTTGCATTATTTGACCAAACAAATACTTTTCTGTTTATTCTTTCACTTGACATATTAACTAATCTTGACCATAAATGTAAAACTGTTTTTAACCCTACATAACATTGGTTGCCATCCAATATCACCATTTACAGCAGCATTTGAAGTGTATTTACCAATGTTCAAAAATATCTTGCTGCCCTATGC